CACTCACTCACTCACTCACTCACTCACACACAGAGTCAGGCTGTTGCTAATCAAGTAATCAAGCGTCTTATTTCAACCTGGTTTGTCTCCACCGCTGTCGATGGGAGCGGGCAGGGCAGAGAGGGCCGCTCGGAGCCTGCCCCCTCCTCCTCCAGAAATGACTGTATTTAAAGGAAATCTATTGTATCTTCCTGCAGTCCCCGTTGTTTCCAAAGTGAACCTGTGATTATCTTGTTATTTATTTTGTGAGTAATAAAGACCTCTTAACATTATTGTTGTTATTGGGCATCTGAAGCCCCAGGCCGGGCTGGGGGGAGGGGGAGGGGGGGATCATTTGGAGGGAATGTTCCCAACCTTTGTGATGTTTTCATGAACCTGCTGCTGAAACTCGTGGTGCCACAAACTATCAGCACCAAGCACACTCGCAGAAAGGCTGGGAGCGCCTGCAGTGGATGGATGTCATGGAAGCCAATTTACTGAAAGGCTTGCTCTGGAAAGGTTGCGGGGGATTGAAAAGAGCCTGGGTTTTTTCTTGATTCCTCACAGCTCGGCAAAGCCAGAGGGCCGGCCTTAAATGAGAATCGGTTGCTTATCTTTTTAATAGCTGTCTAAGTGGCTCCACCTTAGGCAAGGGGACACGGCGTAGGGACAAAGTGAGGGGAAGTGTTGGTCCCTCGGTCTTGTCACCTCCAGTTGAGGGGTTTTTCATGTAAGCAGCTGCATCATCCTTCCTGGAAGCAAACACATGTCCAAACAGGAAAACTTTCCTGCAGCAATAAGAAAGGGAAGTGAGGAGAGGTGAGGCAGCTCCTGGCCACGGCCCCTGCCGTCAGGCCTCCGGACGGCACAGTCCTCTTCTTGGCTGAGCGACTTGGAAGATGCTCAGAGTGGGAATTTCTAAGCCAGGCTGAAGTCATGCTAGACAAACTTGCTTGGTTGTGCACTTTCTCCGACGAGAGCACTTTGGGATGAGCAGGAGTGACGTTCGTTGATCAGGAACTCAGGGAGATGGTCACAGTGCTATCCTGTGTCTGGAGCAAAGATCCTTCTACGGTGTTGCCCTCAGCATGGGAGACTTGGGGCAGGCGGGCAGCGGCTGTGGCAGCGTGAAGACGCTGGGCAGGATGCTGTCACAGGTAAGCAGGGCCCTGTCCAGCTGAGGGGACGGCTTGGCCCAGTCCAGAGAGAAGACAGGACGCAGGCCATGACTCTCCCTCCCTCGCGGCAGCTGAGGGCCCAGCTTGCCTGGGTGAGATGACGGGAGCGGGGCTGATGAGAGGCCTTCCCCGTCTAGGAGGGTTCGTGAGAAGGGAATCCACGTCTAGGCTGCACACATCATTGAGTCTTTACAGGCTCACGTCCTCTGAGTGAAACCTTGTTCTGTACTTCACCCAGCCGCCACCTTCTTCTCTGGGAACCCCTGTCTTCCAGAGGACCCCCGCCTCTGGTAACCAAGTGGCTGACGCTATCTGTTATCAGAAGGGATCTTATAGATACAAAAACTCAACGATTTCTAGGCCATCTCCTCTGCTCCCAGGTTTGCTACTGCCCTGTAAATGCCACGCCCCACAGCCCCAGCCCAGAACTTTCTCCTAAGCTTCAGCCTCACAGACCGCTTCCTCCGGAGAGCAGCCCCGCCCTTCCCGAGAACTCCAGCCCGTCCTCCGCCTCCTCTTCGTGCCCTACGTGCACACAGGGGGCTGTCTCTCCCAGCTCCTGGGGTTAGCAACCCCCTTGCTGCTGCTAATGTCTTGCCTTCAGTCCTGACCTGCCCCCTAGAGATGGTCCCTGACTGCCCGCATTTCCAAATGGTGGGTCCAGAACGTCAGATCCAAGGCATCCAAAAGCGACACGATCTTCCCTCAAAATCCTGGGATCTCCTTTCAGTGTTTCCCATTCCAGCGAGTGGCCGCCCCCACTGCCCTGCTTCCCAAGCCAGAAACCAGGCTTGTATCTCACCGTCCTCACTCCCATGTCCAACTCCACCAGCCAGACACATCAACCCTACTTCTTAAATACTTCCGAAATTCATCTACTTCTTTCTATGTCTGCTGCCATGATCCTAGTCCACACTCCCGCCATCTCTCTTCTAGAATACCACGGCAGCCTCCTAGACCCCCTGTCTCCACGCCTTCTCCCTCCCCATGCTCCGTGCACAGCCGGAGCAAAACATTCAGTTCAGCTGTCACCACTCCCCCACTTCTTCATGACCTTAGAATAAGGACCAAAATAATTAACTTCTTTCCTCTCCTGCCAGTATCTCTTTCAGGGTCTTAAGTTCCAACTTTCAGTTCCTCTAAGCAAGGTTACAAATGCTTTCCCGCCTTAGGACAAAGTCAGGCTGTTTTCTCTGCTTGGAACACCCCTTCCTTCTCCACTGGCCCCACACCTCAGCTGCACAGCACTGACGTGGTCGAGGTGTTTCCTGCTATGCTGGGACCCACCTGAGGACCGAGACATTGTCCTGTTCACCATGGTAACTTCAGTGTCTACCCCATGGTCTGGCACAGAATTGGCCCTTTATTCATTGCATGAAGGAATCAATGAATGAATACATATAGCTGCTTCTAACTCAGCAGTCCATGAGGTAGTTCTGTGTTGGCGAAAGCAAGAATTCGCAATACTTTCATTATGTCAAAAATATCCATATGATAAAATATACTCAGGGAGTAGAGAATGACTAAAAATTATACTGTAGATAAAAATAGATAATATTTTTATTATACTTTGCAAAATAGTACATGAGAGTTGGCAAAATAGTACAAGATGTTGGTTCCAAACTTCAATCTTTTCAAAGTTGTTCCAAAAAATGACAAGGCCTTGGGTACACTTCTGATTTACCTATAATAATCTGATCATAAATTATCGAATTTAATTTCATTTTATGAACATGTCACTCTGTATTCCATCTAAGGGGTAGCGGGGAGGAATGGTTGAAATGACTTTTATTTCCAGATGAATAGAAAATAAACAAAGTATAAAACATGACTGTCTCTATTCTGTGATAGGAAGTAAATGGCTACAAAAGACGGTCTTGCCTGGCAAGCTGTCAGTACAGGGCGCCCCAGTTAAAGGGAAACAACATATAGACGCCTGGGCTCCAGAAGGGAACACATTTTGTGTTGAATTGGACTATTTCCACAAGGCCTAAGACCATGTGTTAGAAGCTACAGCACCCTTTGGAGCAGCCTAAAGTACTCTGACACAGAAACATGGAACATGATTGTTATTATGTTCTTTTCCTCTGTGAAACACATCTCCATTAAAAAAACAAAACAAAACCAAACCATAAATTCTCATTGTAGGGCAGTGGTTAAGTCTGGAGTCAAACAGATAGTCTTAATCTTGGCTCCACAGTTTTACCAACTTTATAACCATAAACAAAGTCACATCATCTCCTCCAGGCCTCAGCATTCTCGTCTGTAAAGTGGGGGTGATGAGAATACTTGCTTTGCAAGGTTTCTTAGGATGTGATGAGACCATTCACAGAAAGTTCCCTGCAGAGTCTGCTCTCTGGAACAGACAATCAGATAAAGAGCACTAAGGTGGACCCCCACATGGCCCCCAGCACACCAGTCTGCACCCAGTGGTGTAGGTAGACCAGACGACATTTTAAAATGATTGAAACCTCTGAGACCAAGGAGAATGCCTGGCAGCCCAGGTACACATGAAAAGCATCGCCCATGTAGTAGACCAAAGACCACACCCAATGAGAAACAAAATGAAAGCAAAAAAAAAAAAGAGCAAGGTTAGAACATATACTGAACACTAGAGTAGATCTGTGTGTAGCAAAGACTCTTTCTTAGTTTCATTGTCAAAACCAATTAATTGTTGGAGGATGAGGGTTCCCAAATTTTTCAGCAGGCTTGGGCAGTTCCATCTTTAGGATATTTAGGAAGGTGTCTTTAAAAAAAATCTATGATCATTGATTTCCAATCTAAAGGATATCAGCACACAAACTTTCTGCTTTCCCACTACACTCCTCTGAGTAACCCCTGCAGGCAATTCAGCAACTCTCAAGAA